ACTAGACTGGGGCGAGATCAAAGCCCTTAAAGTAAACCAAGCGACAGACAATGAGACACAGGGTAAGGTAAATAACCTTTTGAAAAAGTATAAAAGTGTGTTCGATGATGATTTGGGCACCTTGAAGGGACACCAAGCTGACCTCAAATTAAAAGAGAACTGTCGACCCCGATACTGTAAGGCACGACAGGTGCCATATGCCTTGCGACCTAAGGTAGAAGCCGAGCTAACACGCCTTGAAAAGGAAGGGATTCTAAACAAGGTGGAACATAGTGAGTGGGCAACCCCTATTGTACCTGTGGTCAAACGAAATGGCTCAGTACGAATATGTGGGGATTTCAAAGTCTCTGTTAACCCGGTTTTAATCGCAGAACAATACCTTTTGCCCCGTATCGAGGATATTTTTGCCAATCTGGCTGGGGGTAAGCATTTTACCAAATTAGACTTACGCCAAGCCTATCACCAAATGGAGGTCACTGAAGAGACACGAAAGTATTTGACTATTAACACACATAAGGGTCTATTTCAGTATCAGCGGTTAGTTTTCGGTGTGACGTCAAGCCCAGCAATTTGGCAACGTGCCATGGACCAGGTGTTACAGGGTATACCTGGAACACAATGCATCCTTGACGACATGATAATTACCGGAAAGTCCAATGAAGAGCACTTAGAACGGTTAGAGGAAGTTCTAAAGCGATTACAAGAGGCAGGTCTGAGAGCAAACAAAGAGAAGTGTGAATTCTTCAAGGAGAAAGTTGTGTTTTGTGGCCATGAAATTGATGCCAATGGTTTACACAAAACCCAAGAGAAGATCGAGGCAGTAGTGAACGCCCCTAGGCCCGAAAATGTGTCACAAGTTCGATCCTTCCTAGGACTGGTAAATTACTATAATCGGTTTCTCCCCAACGCAGCTTCAGTTCTTCACCCACTACATGAATTGCTTCAGAAAAGTCACAAGTGGAAGTGGACTGAACAATGTGAGAAAGCTTTTAAAAATGCCAAGCACTTGATAACCTCTGACCTAGTCCTAACCCACTACGACACAACGCTTCCAGTTAAGATCGCATGTGATGCTTCACCAACCGGAATTGGTGCAGTGTTGTCGCATGTTATGGCAGATGGAAGTGAAAGACCAGTGGCTTTTGCATCCAGATCCCTCACCAAGACGGAGCGCAAGTACTCCCAGATTGACAAGGAAGCACTGTCAATTGTGTGGGGGGTCAAGAAGTTTCACATATATTTGTATGGGCGACGGTTTACACTAGTCACTGACCATAAACCTCTGACATCCATTTTCCATCCAGAAAAAGAAATACCCATAATGACGGCCACAAGACTCCAACGCTATGCATTGTTCCTAGCTGGATTCGAATACGACATTGAGTACAAGAATACGAAAGAACACTGTAATGCAGATGGTCTATCACGACTACCACTGCCAATGACGGAGAAAGAGGATACAGCTGTGGATGCAGCTGACGTGTTTCATGCAACCCAGTTAAACATTCTCCCAGTCACCAGTGAATCGGTAGCTAAAGAGACAAATCGTGATCCCATATTAGCCAGAGTTTATGATTCAATAGTTAAAGGTTGGTCAGCACGTTTCGAGGGAGACAAGCCCTACCATGACCGACAGAGTGAACTTACAGTTCATCAAGGTTGTATCCTTTGGGGAATGAGAGTGGTCATCCCTAGCAAGTTGCAAGAGAGAATTCTGCGAGAGCTACATGATAGTCATTTGGGTATCGTCAAGATGAAGGCCCTATCACGAAGCTAGGTGTGGTGGCCAAACATCAACCAACAGTTGGAGAACGTAGCGAAAACCTGTAGTGGTTGTCTACAGAACCAAAAGATGCCATCCAAGGTATCCTTACACCCATGGGAATGGACCACTTCACCATGGCAACGTGTACATATTGATTATGCTGGTCCTTTTAAGGATACTATGTTCCTGGTGGTGGTCGACGCACACAGCAAGTGGCCAGAAGTAATTCCTATGAAGTCGACAACCGCAGCGAAGACCATTGAAGTACTACGAAATTTGTTTGCACGATTCGGAATCCCGGAACAGATTGTCTCCGATAATGGCCCCCAATTCGTCTCAGAAGAATTCCGGTCGTTTATGAAATCTAATGGAGTAAAACACATCACCTCTGCCCCATACCACCCTGCTACAAATGGCCTTGCAGAAAGATCAGTGCAAACATTCAAACAGGCACTGCGTTCAATGGAAGAAAGTTCGAAGCCAATTCAAGAGAAGTTAGCAAAATTTCTTATAACCTATAGAAATACCCCACATTCAACAACTGGAGAGAGCCCAGCACAACTTATGCTTGGCAGGCCAATACGGACACGTTTAGACTTAGTTAAACCTAATCTGAACAGGAAGATGGTGATCAAACAACAGGAGCAGAGCAGGAAGTCTGCCAGTGCCAAGAACAGAGCAACACGGCAGTTGGAAGTGGGAGACATGGTAATGGCACGTGATTACCGAGGAAATCTAAAGTGGAGATCGGGAAAGGTCATTGAAAGGATCGGACCTTTGATGTATAAGATCGAAGTGACATCGGGCGTAATCTGGCGCAGACATATTGACCAACTGCTGCCAACCGAAGTTAAACTAAGCACAATACAGGACAGGGAGCAAACTGCAAATATGGGAGTAGTGCAGCCGGAAGTGATATCCAGTTCAAGTGAACAGACATTGCCAATAGTAGCAGCAGACTTGCAAGTGCAACAGGGCTCCAGCACCCACGAACTTGTAAATGAGAGCACTACAGAGACATCAATGCCTCTGGCGACAACGAGCGAACGAAGATATCCAGAAAGAGTGAGGAAACCACCTGTGAGACTTGATCTCTAAAGTAGCAGTGTTACGGACAGATGTAGGGGTTAGAACGTATATTTACAGTATATAGATATACAGCAAAGACTGTTAATTATGACTTTAATGTTAATGTTATGTGCAGCAAAGACTGGATATTAACTGGACAATTTTTAGTAGGGAGGAGATGTTATGGGTTACCTATGTTATTAGGATGCGCGCGCATCCACCATGTGTTCGGGATGAGTGCTTCTTGTTGAGTGATACACGAAATATAATATAGCTATTTAATAGAAAGCAAATACACAACAGTTTTGACCCGATTGCGGCTGCAGCACGGTTCAAGCAGCGACACATGTCATGAAAATCCTCCTTGGGACCGGTTGTGGGGCATCAGCCCCATCCGCTTGTTCATGCGTATTTGATAATTCTACTTACTCAGACTGCACCTCGTCTTGTTTGCGTGTGCGCGATCCAGATACGTGCGGGCGAACTACACAAGCACTATGCGGTTTGGGATCGGTTATCGCAACAGCTTCCCAATAGAATGGAGATTCTCGGCTGGATCGATCATGGGGTGTCTGTGTCTGATTATTTGCAACATTTTTCGGGACAGTTTTGGGGAGTCCATTATGACTGGGACGCCCCGGTATCACAAGTGTTCCAAAACCATAGGATAGTACTTCTGCCCGTTTGGCAGCTTCGGTCGATGGTCTTCAATCGACGACAGATCTTACGCACATGTATCAGGATCTGAACGCGGTTAAACATTTCATCCTTGCTTTTCCACCATTCACTTCTTAGATGGGCGGTTGTTTTGACTTTATTTAATTATGTTGTTTGATCGCATTGGTTCTGACTTTCCGCTTGTAGGCCCGAACTGTTGTCCAGCGGGGGGCGTGTCGGACAATATTGGATTTTGTGTATGGAAAATATGCATGTGGGGATGAGTTGGGGGTTACTTGAGTGTGGGGAATGTGAGTATGGGGAATAAGTGGGGAGATTTTGAGTATGGGGAGTTGAGGGTGGGTATGGGAGGAAATGGTGGGAGAGAAAGAGGTAGGAAGCAGGGCTGAATTCCGTGTGGATCCTACCTCCATGTTTCGAATGAAACAATGGATCTTCCTTTTCCCCAATACTTAATCAGTGATCCGTGGAAGAATGGCCAGTTTGGATAGTTTACTATTCAAACTGGCAAAATGTTCCGCGGGAACTGATTGAGTATTAAAATGTGCATAAGGGGTGTGTTTATTGAATAATTGATGAAGAGAAATGCATAAAAGACTGGATCGCCGGTAATACAGCTTGTTTTGTGCTGATCGCCGCGGGGAAGAAGTGTTTATGCAAAGAGATTAAATCACGGACCAGGGTGGGTGGGTGGGAGGGTTGGGAGTGGAGAGGGAATATAATTTGTATGTGGCATGTTGTGCAGCCCCCACCCTCCCACCCCATTCTTCGGCTATCCATGCTGGTCTTCCGCTGCGGATTCTACCTCCATGTTTCGAATGAAACAATGGATCTTCCTTTTCCCCAATACTTAATCAGTGATCCGTGGAAGAATGGCCAGTTTGGATAGTTTACTATTGCTGTTGTGATTAAATGCATGCATAAATTTTGCTTTATGCACTCGCGTATGCAATAATTTTGACAGTTGTGCTAATTTAAATTCCCAGGCGCCTAAAATCTTTTGTCTTTAAAACAATGTCATTTCTTGGGAAATTCCGAGGTTGCGTTTTTTTATACATCCTGTAGGAATATAACGAAATTTGTAGAGCGAATATTTTGTCTCATCAGCTCTCTTCTGGAACTAATTAGATTTGTCTTTGCTAATTAGTTCCACTCGAGAAATCACAAGACAAAGAGAAATTCCGCTCCGCGCGGAAAATTCGGCTTAGCGGAAAACGGCCTTTAGGAAAAAATATTCTTCTAAACATGTTAGATGGCAAAACCAGGATTTATATTAGGATCTCCAAACGTTTACTGGTTAAAAATATTTATTTGGACGACCTTTCGACTGCCAGTCTGCAGTCTTCGACAGGTATTCGAAGTGAATGCCAGAACAATACCGCTTTCTGCTCAAAAAACCTTAAATTATTTTCAATGTAAACAGTCATTAATCTTATATGCGTTGGCGGAACTGTCAATAATTGTATGTTGTGTGAGAATATTGTATTTGTAAACCGGTACCACTGTAAATATCACATTTACTTTAATCTATACCCGTGGAAGACTGCAGACTGGCAGTAGAAAGCTCGACCAAATAAATATTTTAAACGATGCAGTGACGTTTGAAACTCTTAAAATATTGTTCGTCGCTTTCCCGACCTCAAGCCCGTCAGCCTAACGACTTTCGAGTTTGATTGCGACATTACATCGTGGAACGCAATACTGAACTGGGCAAATATTGTCGGTGTTTAGGAAGATACGTAAAACACGTTGTGACTGTTTTCGGTGAAGTAAACATGTCTGATGCTGTATTCTCCTTGTTGATCGGTTGGACAATAGCTTTTGCCACAGTAAGGTTTTGATATTTCGTCCAAATAAAATCCAAATAGCTTCATGCACTCCTTCAAAACTTTGTAAGCAGCTTGTATAATTAATCAGATGAAGTCATGTGATAGATATATCTGGTGACATGTCATGTATATTTCTATAAATATATATTTATCGAGGACAACCTTTCCTAAATTCACCAGTCATTGCCTAAGAGGTTGTCCAGCTTAAATATATCTAAATACCTAAATATCGATCACGTGACATGTATTTATTCGTGGGTATTCGTGGGGCGTGCGTGGTAATTGCGAGTTCGATTAGCGTGGTGAAATTTTCCACAATGACAAGGCCTTATTCGAATGATTTACGCTGTAGGATGATATATCAACGATATTTTTATAATAGAAGCTATGAGGGCACAGCTTCACAATTATTTGTTTGTTCGAAAACCGTCTATCGGACAGTTAGAACTTTTGTAAACACGGGTGATGTGAAACCATGCCGTCTCTTGGTCGCCCGACGGGAAACAGCTATTAGAGAGTTTGAGCAAGACAACGAAGTCGGACGACGACGACGTGGTTGACAATGTTTGCCTGTCTTGCACATTACCTTGCGCATTCTGAGTTTAGGGTCAGGAGTGAAGACAGATTAGAGATTCATGTCTAGCTGTTTGTGAATGATGACCCAAATCCTTACCCTGATCAGGATAAAACAGCGAGATATGAATCCATATCCCGTCTTCGTCTTCTGCCTTCGTTCACAACGAATATTTTGGAAAAATTCGTTGTGAATTTCGTTCTGCACGAAAGCAGAAGGACAAAGACAGGATATAGTTTCATGTCTCGCTGTTTTTTTCTGTATCAGGGCATGAATTATGGTCAGTATCATAAACAGTGACACATGGGAAGACACGTTGAGCAACCACCACTTACGTCAACACCGGTATGTGCAAGATAATGTACAGATGGCAAAAATTGTCAAGTATGCCTTCGTCTTCGTACTTCGTTGTCTTGCTCAAACTCTCTATTTCCCCATGAAGAATACATTATAATGGATTGTATACTTCGCAACCCGCAAATGCAGCTCTATGAAAATGATAATATCGCCAGTGTCACTGGATCAGCGTTTGGGCCGAAGACGCTATGCCGTGCTCTATATAGGCTTGGAATAACGCGTATAAGAAGGTAAGCTGTGACATTTTCAATAAGTTAGTGTGGCTGTGCCATAACACACATGTTGTTTCACCGAGCCGGCCTATGAGCAATGTCTAATACGTCTTATAATAAAAAAATGTGATAATTTTGAAAACTGATTTCCTTTTCTCCAGATACATAGAGTTGCTCTTCAGCAAAACGAGAACCTCATGCAGGCAACAATCCAAGGCCGAAATCAGCGTATTTAGCCCAAACCAACTACTTTTCGTCGATGAAACTGGCATTGTATGTAGGCTAACAATAAATAATTATACCTGTCGTTTTACTGTTAAGAACTGATCACATTCCTATATTTATTTAGTTGTACTTTTGTTTAAAGGATAAACGGATAACTCGACAATATGGTTATAGCGCTCGTGGAACACGTCCCGTCGTCCGTGATTACAGCTATATATGGTCGGTGGGCACCTCATTATTCGGCTATATCAGCAATTTCGAGTGACAGGCTTATAGCTAACCAACTGATGAAAAATCCAGAGGAAAGATTTGACGCGAATTCGTGTATACAATTTCTTAATGAGCAGCTTTTACCGGCAATGAATCCGTTCAACGGGGGAAAACCCGCGATCTGTATCGTAATCGGTAAGAGGAATTAATGCAAAATTAACTAACTTGATTGTATATAAATAAAACCAATACTTGTTATTGTGATGAGCACAAGTTTTTAAGCCCCTGGGAATTTTCAACCTCTTGCATGTATGTCTAGTCTTTCGTAATCAGTCATACAGTATCCTATTAGTTCGATTATAATTCTGTTTTACCATAGACAATCCAGAAGACATATACATACGAGCAAAAAAGCTAGCACTGTTAGAAGATTTATAATTGTATATATATATATATATATATATATATATATATATATATATATATATATATATATATATATATATATATATATATATATATATATATATATATATATATATATATATATATATATATATATATATATATATAGAATAAATCTTATAATAGAGTATAGGAGAGTAGAATATGCGTATAAAAATGTAGTTTTGCACTTTAAAAAAGGTTATAAAACCAAATAAATTAAGTTTTTAAAACTATTTCAGATAGTCAAATGTAGCCAGCGTGATGCATGTATCCCGAACAGTCATTCGACGTAATTTGTCCGTATCGGCATTCCAGATTAGGGGGCTAGTATCTTGCAATAAATGTAGTACCAGGTGATTCTGACGCAAATAGTGTTTAACATTCGCAAATATACTTCTTCTATCTAATTGCTCCATAGTCATAAACACGTCCTATGACTTCTTGGACATGAGGAACAGCGTGATTGTCTGTTGAAAGAAAGCACATGCATGCATGCATGCATGCTATTAATTTCTTTAAAGTTTGTCTTTTGCAGTAATTTTCATATTACTAATAATATATGAAACGTCATAAAAAACAAGAACTTTTTAAATCAAGCTATTGTTGGAATTTCAATGCCTAAGTAATACGCAAAACTCACGGGTTTGTGCATTGTAAAACAGAATTATAATCGAACTAATGAGATGACTAATTACGAAAGACTTGACATACAATACGTTGAAAATTCCCAGGGGCTTAAAAACTTGTGCTCATAACAAAAACAAGTATATTGGTTTTATTTATATACAATTAAGTTGGTTAATTTTGCATTAATTACTCTAACCATTACCATACAGATCGCGGGTTTTACCCGTTGAACGGATTCATTGTCGGTAAAAGCTGCTCATTAAGAAATTGTATACACGAATTCGCGTCAAATCTTTCCTCTGGATTTTTCATCAGTTGGTTAGCTATAAGCCCGTCACTCGTAATTGCTGATATAGCCGAATAATAGCTGTAATCACGGACGACGGGACGTGTTCCACGAGCGCTATAACCATATTGTCGAGTTATCCGTTTATCCTTTAAACAAAAGTACAACTAAATAAATATAGGAATGTGATCAGTTCTTAACAGTAAAACGACAGGTATAATTATTTTTTGTTAGCCTACATACAATGCCAGTTTCATCGACGAAAACTAGTTGGTTTGGGCTAAATACGCTGATTTCGGCCTTGAATTGTTGCCTGAGGTTCTCGTTTTGCTGAAGAGCAACTCTCTGTATCTGGAGAAAACGAAATCAGTTTTCAAAATTATCACATTTTTTGAAGCAAAGTGAGATTAGATTTAATTTGTTGTTGAGCAACATAATATGAATAGGTTTTCTTTTCACACCGTAGTAATTCTAATTTTACATGTATTAATTAATACAAACACTGTTAATTTCAGGGTGTTAAAATAACACCTCGGGTGGTGTTAGATTAACACCAACTGGTGGTGTTAAACAAAGGTGTTATTTTAGCACCCTTTTTCGGTGCTAATTTAACACGACATAAATAAAAATATTTTGCAAAGTGTTAATTTAACACTCAAATTGTTTAACACCACTTTAGAGGTGTTAAAATAACACCCACTTAAGGACAGGTGGTGTTAAAATAACACCGGGTTCTGGTGCTAAATTCTTGGTGTTAAAATAACACCATAAGTGGTGTTAAGAATTTGTATTCCCCAGTGTTAAATTAGCACTGTTTGTGGAGTGAGAACATGGGTGTTAAAATAACACCTTTTTGGTGGTGTTAAATTAGCACGCAGCACGAGTGTTAAAATAGCACCTTTTTGGTGGTGTTAAATTAGCACTGAGCACGGGTGTTAAAATATCACCTTTTTGGTGGTGTTAAAACTGTTCGTGCAGTTAGAATAACATATCGACAGCTTACTAACATAACTGCCTATGTCACTTTTGGGCCATTTTTGGATTATTGCCTAACTACACTGCCTTTTGAGCGATCTAATCGGGTGCATATATAATGACATGATTAGCCAATCACAGCTCTGCTTACATGGCTTGCAATGTTTTTGCCTATCTCAATTGTGTCATATCTCAATTGTGTCAATATCTCAATTTGGGTAGTATAAATGCCTAAGTCAGGTTTAACACACATTAACACTACACTGGAACTTTTACAGTGTTTCACATTTTCTGCTTTTCTTTTTGTTATACATGTTTAGAAGAACTATAATAAAATAGCAACTTTCGAATGTTTCCGACTTATTTTTGCATTTTTCTCAAAATGCTAGAAACTGAGTTAGGCAATTATGTTAGTAAGCTATCGATATGATTCTTAAACTAAATTACAGGTATTTCGCCAAATTAATTAATTGGCAAATATTTATCCGAATATTATTTACTGTTAGCATGAAACAGCCGCATATTAATTTACTGGCAAATTATAAACCATTTCACAAATGAAACATTTGAATTCAGAAGTTAATACTTTTAGACATATAAAAAATAAATTAACAGAAATAGTTCCCATGTCACATGCATGTGTCATGTATGTTTATGCATTTCATCATACAGATTGGAAACTAGCAAAATTGGACCTCAAAATATCGCATTTCAAATATTATAACACGCTATAATTTGCAGCAGTAGCAACACAATATGAAGATAACACACAATGAAGCCGAAATATTTGAATATTCGCGCGCCGCATGATCGAGCTTTCAACCAATGAGGATAGCGCCGCCGTGAAATCTAATACCTTCTTGTCGCATCGATACTGGCAGTCTGGCATTATAGTTTGTGTGGGAATATATCTGCTATTGTGGTGCGAGGGTTCTATAATGATTGCTTCTAAGTGTCAGTGCGATGGAAGCGATACAAACTGATTAAAATGGCTTTAGTATATTCATATTTCAAGCATAAAGATGGCTTTAAAACAGTGTGAGGAAGAAGCGAGCAAGGTTGCTGTTTGTATTTGAATGACAAAGGTCTGGCCGCCAATGCAATTCAAAACGTGTGGTTCACAGCGTCAATGCCGAGGTCAATGCTTTAGAATTAGTTCGCCTGTAACTTCAAAGATGTGATAAACGTCGAAAGGAATAAGGTGAGTTATTAATAATACTGCGAGAATTATAGTGATTGTTGTCTGCGATTGTCGTATTTATTATAAATACGACCGGCATTATGCTGAGGCTATTCTCATTGCCATTGCAGTCTCAGTTAAGAAAACTTGCGCGCGTTTTGATTTACAAGTACTGTAGTTTTATCTGATTTATCTTGCGTTTACTGCTTTCATTTCAATTATAAAGACAAGTATTTTAGAACCTGAGATGGAAAATCGGGAAATGGCTGTTAAATGCCCAACCTCAACTATATCATATACATATAGGAATGCAAGATTTTGTGCATTCTATTCAAATTACGCACAACAACACAGACCAACAATACTTTATTCATTAAATTTCAATGGCAAACCGAAACGGTAATGTTTTATATTGATTACTGAACGATGGAATTTATTTTATTACTACTGTCTGTGAGATGAGATACAGTATACACTACACAGCTGGACCTGAGCTGGTGTTTCATGAATATTTTTGCCAACTCGAATTTTATATTTGATTTTTAACCATTAATTTAAGCTGCAATGTTCCCAAATATACCTTATTTTATTGTTTTATTCTGGCTAACGCAGACAATTTATATCTAATTTTCCAAGGGGATCTTATACCGTTGTCACGGTCTCAGCACTCCCCCAGTCTGAGTTATCCCTTTTGATAATCTGCGCATGCGCAAAAACAGCGGACCGCTGAGCACGTAGCTAGCTGGCCTGAACGCTCCCGCAGTCTGAGTTATCCCCGTTTATATTTTGCTTTTTATCATCGATTATTTACAAAAAAAACAACTTTAAAAGTATTCTCATGAAGGCACATTGTTGTTAGGTATGGTAAGGCCGTTAACTAACGTATTATTTCTTTATAAATATGACCATTTTTGTATATTTTTAAAATGAGAACTCAAACTGTGGGGAGTATTGAGACTGGTCTAAATGCTCCCCAGTCTGGGGCATCTCCTGTTATAATTTTTTAAATGAGAACTCAGACTGGGGAGTATTGAGACTGGTATGAATGCTCCCCAGTCTGGGGTATCTCCTGATATAATTTTTAAAATGAGATAATTCAGACTGGGGAGTATTGAGACTGGTCTGACTGCTCCTCAGTCTGGGGGATCTCCTGTTATAATTTTTCTAAATGACATAACTCAGACTGGGGAGTATTGAGACTGGTCTAAATGCTCCCCAGTCTGGGGCATCTCCTGTTATAATTTTTTAAATGAGAACTCAGACTGGGGAGTATCGAGACTGG